TTTTGGACAGTAATCACGCGCCGGGCTTTAGTGCGCCCGTTATAGTGACCGTCACTTTGCGACTGCCGGCCCGATTGCGGTGCTCGCAGAGCCACACTCCCTGCCAGGTGCCCAGGTTTAGCTTACCCTCGCTCACTGGGATTGTCAACGACGAGCCCAAAAAACATGCCTTTAAACACAATGTTCAACAATTATATGATTGTAATAATAATAAGCAAATTAGGGTAAAGTAAGCGTACTTTGATGTGCGCCGGCATATCATCGGGTCCTTCACAGGAGTGACGGAATGGTGTGGTCTGTAAAGGCATTCAAATCATTACACAAATCACAACAATGTTGTCATCAATAAGTCTTACTTCAGGAATCAGTCTCGAGAGAAACATTTCCATATCTTCGCGAACGTCTGGATCCCAGTTCTGCACAATTAGGACACAAATCCGTTCATCAATTAATCAAATAACACAACCGCATAGTCTATGGTATACCTCATTGATGGCCAGACTCGCCGAAGTGTGCATTACTGTCATTATTGATTGCAATTAGTATTTGTATTCAATTCATAAGTATTCATACAATCAGTTAATCGTAACATTAAATACATTAAAAGCATTCGCAATATAACACATTATATAATATGCAAATCAAACCTCATGTTTGTATTCACATGACATTTAACACAGAAATCAAAACAAAAAACAACAAAAAATACATTCAAATAAAACATTGCGAAAAGAAATCTAAAACTATAACTAAAATAAAATAGAGAGAAAGTGAGTGCAAGTATTGGATGGGTTGGATGTGATGGGAAGTGATGATCACACTTACTATGGATATGACAGATACCGCACTGGAATTCGTTGAGCTCCGGGATCTGTTTGGTGAGCTCGTCGGTGACGAGATGACAGCCGCGAAGCACTGGCCGTAAGTGGACTTTCTTCTGGAACCACGCGGTCTGAGAGCGGATAATACCAGTGCCGAGCGATGAGGACGAGTGACGTGAGCCGCGGGACGACGAGACAGACTCGCGGGACGAGTGGCCCGAATGGTGTCCTTCGGAACTGTGCTGCGAATGGTGTCCAGCATTGGTGCCGGCGTTGGGCGCCGACGAGTGGCCCACGTATTGGTGCGAAGACGACGACTGACCCGAAGAGGACTGCGGCTGAGACGACGACGAGGCCATTGAGTGGCGCGAACTGATCACTGGATCCGATGGGTGGCCACTAATGGCTGGTCTCGTCTGCGATTGGGTCGACACTTGCGGTTGGACTGGGATTTGGTTTGGCTTTGAATAAGCATTTAATACACTATTGTTTTCAATTGCATTCAATTGCAGGCAATTGTGTTGTGTTTACTATTTATGACACCAATAATCACAAACACTTCCCAACACTTGACCCACGAATTGATGGCTAGATGTGTGTCAAACAAGTGGTCATTCATATAAGTGTTCATTGATTGTGGTTTTGAACACCAATTAATTGATTGAACACAACATTAAATGCAATGAAAAGTGTGTTTGTATTTCACAATCAATTTGTCGTCAAATATGATATCAAAATCATTTGTATTGCTATTGCGATAACACATACAGCGAGTACTGTATGTCATGTGACCCATGGGTTGCCATAACGACCGCAACGGCAATCAACTCGAGTCGAGACTCCCGGGGCTCGAGACCCACTCCCGACCACCACTACTACCCCCACCCCTACCGCCACAACCCCTGCCCGAGTAACTGAGTGGTGCTGTGGTGGGCGCCCACTGGCCCTCATATGCCTATATGTGGTTAGCGTTCAAATACAGAGCACTCGTCACTCATTTTGAATGCGAATCCAAAGTACAGAATATTCCGATTCCGAGATATATTGTTTGCATTGCTTTTCATTTGCGAGGAATATATTATCGATAATAAGTGTTATATAATTGAGTACATAATGTGTAAAATGATATTTTTGTTTATTTATGCATACATTCAATGCAAAAGTCGGTGTGTTTTTGCATGTATTAGTGGCTAATGAGCTAAAAGTTATTCTGTGACAGAATTTATATCTTTTTAATGAATGAAATTTAGAAATTAATGATATTTTTTGCACCGATTCTGTGCTCAGAATCTAAATGATATAATAATGATATTCTGTTGTATAACCAAAAATAAATATTGACTATATTTTGGTCTTTGATTTACACAATTATATCTAATATTATTTTCATTGAAGCAAATAATAACCATTCGTTTCTTTAAGAGAAGATTAGTTTTCATTGGTTTTACTAATTTATACATTTGTTTTCATTGAGAAAATTGTTTTTTTGCCCACAAATGATAAGTGTTATCAAAAGTACAACAATTTGTAGTAAATCTCATAGTAATTCTTAAGCTCCTCTCTAATGGCATTGCCTTTTGTTTTTTCATTACAAACGAAATGAATGTTTGAATAACTTTTTCATCAGTTTTCGTGACACTATGTATTCGCTAACATATAACTCATATTCATAGGGATTTTCTATAGTAATCCATAGCTTAACAAATCTTTTCCTTTCTCTGCAATTATATATCAATGTATATAAAAGTGTATATTTTATTCAAATAAGTTTTGAATAACATAAATGATTTCCTACTAAAGCCCTTCCCATTTAATTCGTGTATAATTAGTGTAAATAATTATTGTATGCGATATAAATGTTAATACACTTGATATGCAGACAATGCTCAGCTATAGTGAAACATGTCATTTAGGGATTGTATTAATTAATTGATTTCTTCTGTCTGTTAATCATTTCATGTAATGTCGAGAACCGTTAGATTGGAGTCGTCTCTACCCTTCCCAAGCAATTCGTATTCCGAAGTGAATAAAACATTAGTATAATTGTCCCACCGATACATCATTACCCATATTAGCCATCCGTCCGCTCCCTTTGCCCTCACTTTCAATTTATAGATAATTTGCGGATAAACTATATATTAGATGAGCACAGAGCTCGAGACTCTCTCTCTCTCTCTCTCTCTCTCTCTCTCTCTCTCTCTCT